TGCACCCTTGGTGCCCTCCGACCGAAGCTGCGCCCGATCCACGCCGCCACTGCTAGTGCTTGGCCTCTCATCTTCTCTGGCGTGTTCAATAAAAAGGGCAGCCTCCTCCTCGGATAGGCTCGCAAGAAAGCCTCCCCTGCGCCTGGTGCCTTTACCTTCGCCCAGCATAGAACTGCCGAGCTTGACCGTTGGTACCTTTGGTGCCCTTGACATAACTGTCTTCGTGGCTGCTGCTGCTGTTGTAGCTGTAGTTGTGACTGTTGTAGAGGCTGTTGCTGATGGTGTGGCTGTTGCAGCTGTTGTGGCTGTAGTTGTAGCTGTAGCTGTAGCTGTTTTCGCGGATTTCGCGATGGTTTTTGTTGTTTTTGTTGTTTTTGTGTTTTTTTGGTTTTTAGTTGTATTCATCTTGTTCGTACGACTGCCAGCTCGGCTAGGCAAGCTCAGCAGTCAAAGTTGTAGTAGGGGATCTTATCTGGTCCGCCGCGCCAGCGCCCCATGTCGCGGTAAGGCCACCGTTACTCCTCGATGCGGCCCGGTGTCGAAGAGGCGCCGTTATAATACAGCCGGTTTTTCCTCCTTGCTGCAAACCGTCCAATAGGCACGGTGTCGCGTAACACCCTGGATTAGGAGGTGGCAGTTCTTGGTCACTGTTTGCCGGCAGCCCAATCTGGAGACAAGGTAGCGCAGAAGCGACGAGCGCGTCCACGATACCCCAGACCAGAGATGGGCTGATCGGCAATTCAGCTAAGCCCCCGCACCAACGGCAAGGTGCCTGCCCTAGCGAGGGCTTTCTGCATATAACATTGTAGAGTGTAGAAAAGATAACAATAGAGAACAATAACGGGAGTCAGGAGGTACAATAATGGGATGGCGCTCGTTATGACTGAGGGTCGCATATTTGAGGCGTCCGTTTACCCGCATTACTCCGACATCGTCTATAACGGGGTTTAGTGTCAGCAAAGGACTCTTTTTGCTAATTGGCTGAGATACCACCAGCTGGGCGATAGTTTTCCCATAATATCGTTGTTGGGTCAAGAGGATGACCCGCAATTTGGCCTCATTTACTTCCTTCTGCGCTAGCATCAGCGTGTTCGGAATTGGGAGTTTGTGGGTACTTCGGATGAAGCGATACATATATGCGATTACCCTGAGTGCCCGAGGTAATGAGGAGAACCTGTCAAGTATATCCGCGTCTTCGATGGTGTGGAAGGCCTCTACGTGCCTCAGTTCCGGCGGAGCGGCATTTGGAGGTGTGGGATTCGGCCAGCATGAGACGAGCCACTCTGGACCCTTCCACCATAGAGAAGAACCGGCTAAATCCTGTGGTTTGCATTCTCTTGTGCCTAAGTCAGCTGGGTTGTCACCGCTGCGTACGTGGCGCCATGTGGAATTGCCGACGTTTTGGAGGATCTGCGATGTCCGATTCGCCACGTAAGTTTTCCAATTGTGAGGCGGGTTTTCCAGCCATGCTAAAACGATAGATGAGTCTGTCCATATAGTCAACTCGTGAGGCGGCAAATCGAGCTGAGATCGAATGTGCTTTACCAATTTGGCAGGTAAAACTGCTCCGCAAAATTCTAATCGAGGGAGACTCACGGTTTGAAGAGGTGCAACCCTGCTCTTCGCCGCAAGTAGATGAGAAGAGACGGAATTTTCGCTAATTTGTAATCTTAGATAAACGCAGGCATAAAAGGCTTTTTCGGAGGCGTCCGAAAATCCATGCAGTTGATAGGGGGTATCTGGTGAAAATTGCACCAATCGGAGAATTTGTATGTCTTTTATCGCTGAAAGATTTTCGCGAAAGGCACTCCACTTGTGAAACGCCGCGGGTTTTACAGCCTCGTCCCAGCCAGTTCCTTCCATCCAGAGTTGTTGGAGAAGTGTCTTGGCTATGATAATGATTGGAGATAGCCATCCTGCCGGGTCGAAAAGCTTCGCTACGGCTGACAAGATTTGCCTTTTAGTACTACAGTTTGAAGTTGGAAGAGGATCGTATGAATATGAGAACGTGTCTGTTAGCGCGTTCCACTGAATTCCAAGCGTCTTTGTCGAACTTGCGTCTTGAAATTTTAGAAAGTGATTTTAGGAAGTGATTTTCCTGAGTGGAAATCCTGCTGAATTTAAAGCTTCGATAGTCTGAGACATCGATTTAATTGTGGACTGTATTTCGTGCCCGCCTTAGAGGACATCATCTTCATACGTTTCTCGCTTTAGAATATTATTTACAAGAGGATAATCGCGCCTGCAATTTTCTGTTAATTGGTGAAGTGTTCGGATCGCCAAATATGGAGCACAGTTTCCACCAAAGGTTACTGTCTTCAGTTTAAAATCTTCTATTGGAGAGTTAAGGGGCCTGCGAAAGAGTATTCGCTGGAAGTCCTGATCTTCCTTGAGAATAAGAATTTGGCGGTACATTTTCTCAATGTCGCCGTTAAAACAAGCTTCTATAACCTCCATCGGAGGATGATTAGCATCAAGTCATTTTGCAAGACTGGGCCCGTGAGTAGCGCATCGTTTAAGGATTTCCCTGAGTGGGAGGTTATAGAAGCATTGAAAACGACCCTAACCTTAGTGGTTTTGCTATCAGGATTCAAGACTGCATGATGCGGCTAATAAAAGGAGAAATATTTCCCCTCATTTATAACTTCACGTGAAGAAGTGGGAGCCATGTGATCCATAGCCAAGTATTCATCCAATACCTCAGCGTATTTATGTTTTAGTTCCGGTCGTTTCTCCAGACTCCTTTCGATGCTGAGATATTGAAGCTGCGCTCCTAGTCGGGAGTGACCCAAGGCTATTTTCTCTGCAAAGTCTTCTTTGAAGGGTAATTTAACCATATAGCGTCCATCTGCTTGCCGAATTGTTGTCGAACGGTACAATTTCTCGCAGCGTTTATCATCTTCGGACAGCGTTTTCCCTGTGGAGACTTCTTCTTGTTCCCAGCATTTCCTTAAAAGACTGTTAAGGGAGTCGTTTTGCGATTCGGTGACACACGTGGAGAATGTTGATATTTTTTCAGCAATCGGCCCGCTGAGGATCCATCCGAATATCGTGTTTTGTGCCATAAGTGTACCACATACGTTGTGATGGAGTCCTTGTACCAGAATCTGTGGGGTGATATCGCTACCGATTACCATGTCGACTCTTCCGGGTGAACAACAATTTGGATCTTCTAGTGATAATGTGGCGAGCTCGATTAGATCGGGATTTGACAATTTGAAGGTTGGGAGGAAATGGGTAAGCTGCGGCAAAGTGATTGCCTGAGCCTTTATTTTTTGAGTCAGATCAGATGAACAGTGTCAATTCGCAGACGTTTTTGGAATTTTGAGCTACCAAGCCGCCCATTCCGGAAATTTCGTAGTGTATTTCTCGTGTTGGCAAGCCAAGGAGTTTTTGTAGTCGGGAGGCAACAAATGTCTTTTGTGATCCCTGATCTATAAGGGCTCGGATCTTATGGAATTCGCCAGCAAAGTACATGGGGACTATTGCTGTTGGCAGAAGGGTGGCTCCATTGCTACTCGCGAAATGTGACGAGACCTTATTCACGTTATTTTCCGTAAAGCTTTGTGTTCGTGAGCCTTGCGTAATGTCTTTAGATGACGAAGGCCCTTCATTATCTACCCTCAGTGTTGCCATTTGAGTTGTGGTTTTTTGGGGTTTAGAGTTTGGTTTTTGACCTTGGGGTTTGGATTGAAAATGTAATAACGAGTGATGTCTTTTTTGGCAATACACGCATGAGAAATTGCTTTGACCTTCATTCTTTAAGTGTGAGTAGGAGAGGCAGTTTTCGCAATAGTTATTTTCATTTACGAACTTGAGACGTTCTGGCACCGAAAGGGTTTTTAATCTTACGCAGTGTTTCATTCCGTGATTGCTAATGCACAGTTTACATGAAACGGGTTTAGCAAACTCTGTTTGGAAAGTTTGAGTCCTGTTTTTATTAACAAAATTTGAACTTTGATTAACTGCTCTTGGGGCAAAATTTTGAAATTGGGGTTTTATCTTGCCTGGCCGATATTTACTCAGCCTTTCCACGACCTCGTATCGGCTCGTGAGAAACTTATCCATCTCTGACCACCGTGGCAACTCCTTGCGGGACCTGAGGGATTGCTTCCACAGGGAGAGTGTCTCACTTGGCAATTTTGATGAGCACAAGTATACCAGGATGGGGTCCCAGTCAGTGGTGGAGATTTTCTGTGCAGTTAGGGTTGAGATGCAGTTATTTATTGTCGACTGGATTTTCTGAATTTGCTCTCCGTTTTCCGAGAAGATGGGTTCTCAGCTGGTTATCCACTAGTATCCTACGGTTTTCATAGCGAGCCTTTAGGGCCTCCCAAGCTAGTTGGAAATTTTCGTTGCTGAGTGGGTATGGCTTTACTATCAGCCCCGCCTGGCCTTGTGTCTTTAACCGCAGGTGATATAACTTTTGCGCGGGCGTCAATTTTGGGTGTTCTTTGTACACGGCCATAAACATGTCTCTGAAAGCCGGCCATTCTTCATGGAACACTTCGGTGTCACATGGAGGTACTTTGAGAAAAATATCATGTTTAGGATTCGAGCTATGATTCGGTGTTTGCTGGGCTGAGGGGGGGTTCTAAAAAGCTGTACAGCGTCTAACATTTGGGCCTTGCAATTGTGATAACTATCAGAGCATTTGTCATATTTTTGCTCTACTGAGCCACTGACCTCTGAATAGTCGTCGGATCGAAAAACTTCTTCATATGACTGTAATAAATAATCCCAGTTTCTATCAAGTTGTTGCAACTTGACATTGATCAGAGATTCTGTTTGGTCAGCTATTATCGAGTTCGACCATTTCGCACAAAATATCTCTAGCCTGTTGCTTTCAAAAATGAATTTCTGTAAGCAATCCTGTGTTAAGGCTTTCGTTGGAGAAGGTTTGGAATCGTTTCCCATAATGGAAGGTAACGTTTATAGCGACTGGTGAAAATTAGCAAACTTCGTTTGAAGCAAGTATTGTATGAGCTCCCTTTCGTTATGGGCTACTAAGATGCTATATTTATACTTTATTTTTTAATAAAATAGGTATTATGAGGGTGTGTCTACAGATTGACGTTATTATTAAAAAATAGTTCACTTGTTCAATACTACAGAGTACCACTGTGGTATTTTTCGTCGAGAGTCAACTGTTAAACGGAGTACCGGTTTTACTTGGAGTGGAAGTGATATTGTGTTGGTGAGCACAGAGTAAATCCGCCGAACTGTATTAACCTGTTTATAAAGAGCGAAATGAAATGGTTTTCAACAAGCTGCGAGGAGTACCCTGTTAAAACGAGTGAGTTTTTTACCGACCGCTTACGTAGATGTACACACACGTTCGTATTTATGTACGCATGCAATGTAAATCTCCGCGAGTGCACGGAATTAAGCGATTGAGGAGGAAAAGTAGTCGGTCAAATTGTGTGTCTCCTGTGTTTTCCAGAACTTCGAGCTGAGAGAAAAGGTATGTACATATGTATGGATGTGTACATATATATGCAGTGTTGCCTCGTGCAACGTATGCAAAATATATTTAGTACATATATATGTTGGGAGCTGCTGCTCGTCTCAGCTTATTTCTTTTGGGGTGAGTTTTTTTTCACATTTGTGTATGCACTTGTTTTACCTACGATATATTCATATGTGGGTAGGGCTAATGAGGTATGTACATATGTATGTAGGTACGTATTGTGTATCGGCTGCAAATATTAATATGTAATTTTGCCCATACCAATATAATTCCAGCAGTATTGTAAATTTATACCTTAGACATTCTGTTTTGAGCGGTAAGGAGCAAACATATATTTACATACATATGTGGGGGCCCAAACTGACGTTAGTTCTGAATTGAATGCCCTTTAACTCCGTTTTTCATGATAGGACAATCTAACGTAAGTTTTGTTTCCATATATCTATGTATGTTAGTATATACATATGTACATATATATATGTATGTGACGGTAAATGTTAAACGGTACTATTTTTTAGCAAAATTTGGCTGTACTCTTTTGGTCCGACTATTATACTAATTTATACCGTTTTATTGGATAGCTAACTTTGTAAAGTTATTCCAACCAAACATATGTACATATATTTATAATGATACGTTGGGTATACAATTGTGACTTACTCAGCCATCCGGGAATGTGTACTTAGCCGCAAAGTATATTTTATTGGGGATATGAAAGATGTTGTTAGCGCTGCTTCGTCCGTGGTATCGTGGAAGCCTGTTGCTGCTGCTGTTGCGCACCGCTTCCACCTGTGCCTCCTCGATCGATTTGCTTGTGCTGTGGATACGGCTATGGATATAGCTCGCCGTCGTGGTTGCTGCGATGAAGTTCACTATTCGCCCTGGTGGGGTTACCAAGTGCCCGGCTTCCAAACGTGATGTCTCAAATTTCGGAACTCTAATTCGCACTTTCTTTGCGTTCGAGATACGAAAACGCTCTGGTTTGCGAATTTCGCGCCGAATTTGTACCCACGCCGATTCACCAAACTTTAGTTCACTGAATTTTACGCAATTTTGTTCGGAACACGATTTACCGGCACTGGTCTTCTCGAAATGTTCTCCTCGGGACACAATTCGATTTTATAGTCTTATTTAGCACACACCGTATTTTGTTTGTTAGCAAAGAACGCTTTTTGTTTTCCTAAAATAGTACATAAAATAATTTTCAAATATTCCCTTTTGCACACTCGACTTTTCTCCGACTGTCCTCGTAGCGATCGCAAATTTTGAGCAATAATACGAGTTATTGCAAATGGCGTTGTCGCGGGTTGCCTTTTAGCACAAAAGGACCATGTTTAATTCGGAGTTTGATTGCAGTACAGGGCGCACAATATGAAAACGTTTTGAGGTTGATATTTAAAGGATTATATAATTGAAGATGAATTTATTGAATTCAATGCCATGTACAAACGAGTTCAGACTATTAAAAGGTTAACAGTATATACAATTTTAAGCGAATAATGAGAAGATGTAATTTAAGATGTTGATTCTCGGGCGGTTAAGAAGCGAGTGAGTTGGTTTGCTAACTTATCGTTGAGCCAGTACTGATTTCGGGTTGCCACTTGAGTTTTACCATGTAGCACCCGCCTTACCACGTAGATCGGTTACTCCGAAAATTGGATAAGATCCATGTCTTCGACACAAGTTTAGAACGGTCCGTTTCTATCGCTAAATAAGTGTGCCAGCGGAAAAATTCATTTTTTTTCTTGAGCTTCCTTTCAGATGATAAATTTCGAATATTCATAACTCTGGTTCTATTAAAAGCACACATTCAGCTCTGGTGTAATTTTCTAGAGTATGTTATATAGAATATATAACTTAACGCCATTTTCAAATATCAAACGGTAAAAAGGTTACGCGGAAAAACAGGAAAACTTAGTTACATTTGAATAATCCTGAATAAGTGAGGTTTTGAGATTACAGCGAGCGGGTATTATTTCAGATCTCTTATTATGATGCATTTTCTTCTGAAAAATACCCAACACATATAGCGATTTTGACCATATAGCTACGTAACTATGCATAATCACCAAAATCAAAAGTTCCTGATTGTGCAATAAACTAAGGTCGAATTTAAAAGATGAAACTTTAAAGACTTTATCATTCCTTCGGAAATGTTATCAAAAAAGTCAACCTAATTAAAAGTAAATACGTAGATAAGTAGAAATCAAATCGTCTTTTTACATATCAATTTTGAGTATAACTGTTTAGAGGTAATAATATGATTTTTTTCAGTCCCGCAAATCCTGCGCATCCGCGGGATTAAAGACCTCGATCCCTTAAGTTTGCGGGATTGCGATTTTTATGCGCATTCCCTAGTAGGGAATCCCTAGTCGCAATCCTTCAAAGATTGAACGTCAAATAAATAATAACCCCACAATTCTGTGCACTTGAAAAATTTTCAAGCTTAACTATTTGTCAATAAATTTGCGCTTTAAAAATGCACAACAAATTTAGAAAGTACAGACAAATCTTATCGGCCTTGTTTAAGGCGCAAATTTCTAGTCTAGGCTGATTACACGGTGCTACAAAAAAAAAATCATGAAATACACCCGAAACAAAACCTAGTGTAGGTTGTAGGTATGGTCCAGTACCACATGAAAATTGGTTCCGTATAGTTCCTGAGCC